GGGGGGGGGGATGGGCAAGCATCGATCGTGCAAGACACTAGACCAACACTGGTCGAAATTTAGTCTCGACGAGGCGAACCAACGAGAACGACCGCGGGGGTCTTGTGCGTGTGTATGTGTGTTTCTTCAATTAGCATCGAGTGCGCTAACCGGCTGACCAATGAAATCACATCCATTTTACGACAGCTGGAAAGCAAACGCGAACATGTGTGTGTGTGTGTGTGCCAACCGTGACCATAAAACAAGATCCGACAGAGGGGGGAGCAACTGTGGGGGCGATAGCCATGGGGGGAGCAGCGCTCATGAGTGGACGTATTCGTGAGCGTAAAAATCAAAATTGTTGCCCATACGTGAGTTCTCTAGGTGCACTCGTATCTATCTCCGCAAGACGGAAGGCAGCGAAGCACGCCCGAAAAAGCACCCTGGCTTCGAAACATCCGCCACAGCGACGTCTACACTTGTCAATCATGACATGGCAGAGCGAAGCCGCCCAACTTGAGTGATTGGTGCTCGGGTTCGGGCACGGGCGCTCCGTGTGTTCAGAACAACAAACTCCCGGTGGGAAATGACAGGATTTGAATACCTAGCCCTGATAGAGAGCGGCTGCCGCTGCTGCTATTGATCTCTCCATACCTATCTGGCTGACGCGGATTTCTGGTATGGCGAAGTCCGGGCTGTTTCGAAACAGCGAGGTACTCCTCTCCAAGACCTGCTCAATGTTGTTATTTCAACGCAAGCGGGGGGGTTCCACACACACGGTACCCCGGGGGAGGGGTAAGTGATGGGCATTTTGTAGTTGTTACTTGCTCGGGCCATTTCGGCTGCAGGACATGCATTTCGCCACGGGGGGAAGCGGGTGAGGCAGACGGGGCAGGTCGAAACGATGGTCTTTGAAGCTATAATAGCCGTTCTCACGCAAGACGCGGTGCGAAGAGAAGTCGGTCTCCCGGTGTACGCCATTTTACCCCGCCATTCTGGAGTCCAGATGTTCGAACCATACGGACGACCCCGAGGTGGTTTCGATACACGCATGTATGTACACAGAGCAGCCAACAGGAGTGCATTCGTTAATGCCCGCCATGTACAAGATCGAGTGTGCTTCTAAGAACGCGTGCAGACAACACGTGACCGTGGCAACTATTAATGCCTTTCGTCACTACCACCGTTGCATCCACGTCGTCCCTGCCCCGCCATACGCTTGATCCTGCCATACAATCAACGCCTTGGCCATACAGTCGACGACGGTGTTCGCCGACGAGGTCACCGTCATGGGGATGCGATGGCCGCAACAGGAGGGTGGAGTTTATCACCTCAGACAGTCTTAACATGGATTCCTGCGGGTTTGTGACTCTGAGAGCGCGGGCAAGTTCCTCCATTTCCGGCGCCCCCGAGCCATGGTCCGGCCACAGCAGCTCTCGCGCTTCAGCCCTGACAGCGCCGAACGGTGATCCATCAGTACGGAGGGAGCAGCAGCAGCCGCAGCAAGGCATCCGCATCATCAACCCGCAAGCAGCACATCAACGCCTTCACATCGAAAATCACAGCCATGCCTTCATAGTCCTATGTGACCCCGGTTGGGTCGTCTAGCTAGTAGAAGTGGAGGATAGGGGCCAGAGGAGCAGACGACAGAGTCCAATGATGGGAGAAAAAAAAAAAAAAGTAGCAGGCCAAACCGGGATAAACAATAGACTAATAGAGACAGGAGACCTACAGCAGTAGCCGCTAGGGATGTTGGTCGGAGCTGTAGTACAGTAGCGACATAAGTCATGGAAGTGTAAGCCGATAACATAAACCATGCGATGGCATTGCAGCTGAATCGTGCCTGTCCATGCGCCGACTCATTTGTGAGAAGTCATGCCATATAAGAAGCTAAATCTGGGCTTCAGGCGGAGTGATTCGCCCTAAAACACCGGGAGAACGGGCCCAAGCTCCCAAGAAGAGGCCAAATAACACACAAGTGAGGGCACCCAGGATGGCAGCAGCAATGGAACTGCGGAACGCCACAATACGTAACCCATTATCGAGGCACAACAATAGGCGGCGTGGTGTAGAAGGTGGCGTGTGCCAGGACCCGACCGCAACGGGAAGTGGCGGTACAAAATACGGCTGTGTTCTGACCAAACGCCGGTGACAAGATGGTGTCATTCAGTAGAACGTGTCTGGAGGTGCTGCACTTGGCTCAAAGTTATGAGCAGGTACACACCTCCTTACTCGTGGTGTAGAGTTGATTGGGAGCACTAACACTGGTGCAATTGTGGTGGGGTGTGCCTGCCTGAACGCTGGCTAATAGCGGTACGCCGATGTCAATTGTCCGGCGCTGCTGCTGTTCATGTACGCACGAGGACACAGAATAGCAGCAGAGCCACCTGCTGTGCATGTTGAACTCTCTTCCTGTGATCTGGCTCTCTTGTAATAGAACAAAGCAGTGTGTGCTTCGCCAGAGAGTCAGATGCTTCAACCGGTAGCTGCCATCGTGTTGCATGCCGCGCAACAGTAGTAGGCGAGACTCGGTGCCTTCACCAAAGCGCGGCGTTGTTGTTCTGTGTTTTGCTGATCGTCTCGCCATTTGTGGAGCGGGGTCTGTCAAGGCAGCAGATGCGGCTGCAAGGGAGACAGGGTTCGGCACCACATTCGGCCAACAAACCTTGGCGTGATGTATGGGCCAAAACAATGCAGACACAAAGTAGTCGATTTTTTTCCCCAGCCGCCGCCACCGCTGCCCCCGCGGTCGGCGTGTGCTGCACACCCGGGGAGGGGGTGCACAAAAGCACCAGGGTTATCGCGATCCATGCGTGACGCAAGTAGTCCGTGTACATCACACCAAATACCTGGAAGCCAGTGACCTCTTCTTCGGCCGAACAACGAAATTAGCTGGTACGACCAGTCCACGACCCCTGTACGCCATTATGCAGCAGCGGCGGTTGTTTGTCACCACGGGCACGCGGCGGGAGAGACAGAAGAGATCGAGCACGTTGCACCCCAGACCCGGCTCACTGAACCGGCGACCATCTCCGATCTCAATCTGGGGGGCTCCGGCCATATCACTTTCGGACCACACCCCACAGGGTCCCTGCAGAGCGCAGGGCATGCCGCACACCCGCCAGTCCGCGGAGGCAGGACAGACAGCACACGAGTCACCTTTCCCTGTCAGCAGCAGTGGCGATGACCATCACCCGCCGGAGTGAGGGGAGAGACAGGGTTCTCTCGCCGAAGATCGCGGCAGCTGCAGCAGTGGGGGTGGCGGTGGCGACGTCGTTGGCACTTCTAGTCCAGCCTGGCCAGGCCTTTCACACGAACATGTTGGCCAGCGGTGCTCTGCGCCGTGCATCTGCTTCAGCCGTCCGCCGAGCACCGGCAGCAGCAGCAGCGCTGCCACGACGCCTTGCAACCAATCGCTGCGGCCCTGGGTTTTCAATGGCCTGGGAAGATGATGATCGTGTGCGACGGCGAGGGAGGCAGGTTGATCGCGGGTTCAGCAGCGGCGGCGTGGTTGACAAGAGCTTGAACGATGGCGACAGCACCGACAGCTATGGCGGTGGGGGCGGTAGCGGCGGTAGAGTAGGGGGAGGGTGGGCAGATGCTGACGGCGGTGACGGTGGCGGCAGCGGCAGCAGTCGACAACAAAAATTGTCGGACGGGCGAGGAAGAGGAGGAGGTGACAACTACAGAAATGGGGGCGGTAGCCGTGGAGGTAACGGGCGATACGAGCAACGCGGCCGCGGGCGGGGACGAGGTTGGGACCAGTCAGCCGACAGCAGTAGCAGAGGGGGCGGTGCAAGGGGTGGGCGTGGCGGCTACGATCGGGATTTCGGTGGGCGGGAGAGCGGAGGCCGTAGTAACTCCAGCTGGGACGACCACAGAAGTAGGGGCCGGGGGCGGGGGGGGCAGGGACGCGGTCGGGGCCGCTCCTCGTACGGCGGGAGGGAAGGCGGCGGCCGCTCTTACGATGGGAGAGAGAGGTCATTCCGGGGGCGGCGAAACGATGCAGGTGGTAGCGATAGCGCGAACGATAGGCCGTCTCGAGCGTGGACTCCTTCCTCTGGAGGCGGTGGAGGTGATGAGATGGCGTGGGGGGGGGCTGGGAGGGGTGGGCGGGGTGGCGCACAGCGATACGACGAAGGGTACGGCCTTGAAAACGAAAAAGGAGAAGCGGGCGAGGGAGATGAGGGCGGAGAGGGGTGGAGTCCGTCGCGGTCTGCTCCTGCATCGGACTGGATGAGGGGAGAACTATGTGAGAGGGTCCGATTTTGGTTTTAGCAGGGGGGGGGGGCGTGTGTTGGGTCTCTCTGATACCATCGTGCTTGAAATTCCGGCAATCGCGTGCTGTTGTGTGTTCAATCTAGTGCTTTACGAATGGAAGCGCATAGGAATGCTGGAGTCCCCGTGTGCACAAGAAGACCGCCGCAAGCGGCCAGTTGCGTTCCTGCGTGGTGAAATCTTCTTGACCATATTGAGCAGCTGTGTTCGAGTAGCGCTTTTCGCTTCTGCTCGAACCAGGTTTGTACACCGTGACGGTGCAGCACACCCATGATTCATTTGTGGCCGTCGTCTGATTTTGGTGTCGTTGAATCTGCTTCACGTTCGCTGCCACTCCCAACAAAATCGTCCATCAGCCAACTACCAAGCGGAGCTTTCCCCCACCCACAACGTGGATGAGGACACGAACTTCGACATGGTGTATGGCATCGCCCCTGTGCTCAACGTGCTGAGGAACAATCGGCGCGAGAAGCTCGGACTGTACTGCCAGGATGGATTGGCGCCGGCGAACAAGAAGGACCGCGCCGCGGCGAACCGGATTTACGACATCGCCAGAGAGACCGACGTTCCGTGAGTCAACAAGGCGCACACAATTTAGCGAGCTACACATATCGTCAGCTGGTTGTGCAGGGTACGGCTAGGGCAGAGCCTGCTTTGACGGCGTGCGCATATTGTACTCAAGCGCAGCAGCGGGGATGATAAATCTGCCAAAAACATGATTCTGCCGCCCTCAACGCATGTTTGCACCACTTCCCAGACAGGCTACAGTGTAGAGGTTTTGGACGTAGACTGTTTATGGAGCGAAAACACAACACTTGTCATTGTCCTGCAATAGTCCAGTGCTGCTCCGGTTCGTCCTCCTCACAGCAGTGTTTCAGCTCGTTTTTCACGTGGAACCTCTTTGCTCTTCTACTCCGACCGGCGTCCGCAGAATGACCACGACCGACAAGGGCTACCTCAACACGCTCTGCGGGAACCGCCCTCACCAGGGCTTCATCCTCAAGGCACGCCCTCTCAAGTTCGAGCCCATCCTCTTCCTGCCGCGCGTCAAAGACGTAGAAGCCGACCCCTCGGTCGAAGCAACAGCAACAGCGGCAGACGCCGAGACATCGCCAGAACACGACGACGATGACGACGGACAAGAAGAAGACCGTAATGCTGCTGCCGCACCCAAGAAGCCCCCGGCGCCCCTGGCAGCGGCCGCCACCGGGCAGGTCTGGCTGGCGCTGGACGAAGTCACGGACCCCCAGAACTTCGGCGCGCTCCTCCGCTCCGCCCACTTCTTCGGGGCCTCGGGGGTCGTCGCGTGCGCCAAGAACTCGGCCGCCCTCACGGCAACCGTGAGCAAGTCCAGCGCGGGCGCCGTGGAGGTCATGCGCGTCCACTCGACCGCCAACATGATGCGGTTCCTGAAGCGGAGCCGGGAGAACGGGTGGAGGGTCGTGGGCACCTCGGTCAGCGAGAGGTCGGGGCCGCTCCACGAGCTCCCAGCGGGCCCGGGGGCCCCGCCGACTATCGTGGTGCTCGGGAACGAGGGGTACGGCGTGCGCACCAACGTCCTGAGGGAGTGCGACTTCTTGGTGGAGGTCGCGGGGGACGGCGGGGGCGCGCTGGCCGAGGGGGCGACGCCTTCGACGGTTGACTCGCTCAACGTTAGCGTCACCGGTGGAGTTGTTCTGTTCCATTTGCTCGCCGGCGCGAAACACGCCGCGGCATACGCAGCTTCTTCGGACTGATTCGCGTGTGCGATTCTTTGATGGAGTAAAGAGGCTCGGGTGTGATAATATTTTTGCACGAAGTCAGTTGGAAAATTTGGTTGTGATCATGATTTTTTATTTAGTGTTGCGTGCTGCTGCTGCGGCTGCAGCGGGAGAACATGGCGGACGCAGCTTGTACTTGATGTGCGTGATGTTCCGTGGAAGCAAACGGCGCCGCAATCCCGCTGGCCGCAATTTTAACACGAAATTGTCTGCAAATCCAAATCGCCGCCACTCAGGCATACGGAACAAAGATGACGAAAATTGTAGAAAGCACCGACACGCGCTCGACGCCGTAATCAAATCAAACGTGCGGAAGGACAGTCTATGCAAGCCGGTATGTTGTCCACCCACGCATAACCCAGTGCACTCCAAACTATTTTGAATCACAGCAGGGCGCCGCGCAGTTTTTTGTTCAAGGGAAGCTACACCCACGCTTCCGTGATGCTGTAGTTCATCAGCAGCTCCTTGTTCACGTTGAAACACTGGTGTGATGGAGGCACGGAACGAGGACGGTAAGGGGGAAGGGAAAGATCATTGCTGCGTCAGGACACAGACGAGAAACCGCAACATTGTTTTCTGTGCCACCCTGACAAAAAATCAACTCCGTTTGAGCTCAAGCGAGCTGTAGCGTGGCTCGAAGTGTCAATTTGCAAGCACCACGGCTACTATCATGGAACGCAAAGGATCTATCTTGAAACGTGATTGGTCCCGAGAAACGTTGGGAAGGGTGCTCACCTTGTATAGGTCGGAAAGGCTCTGGTCAGGGCTAGGCTCGAAAGCGCTGTTGCAGTACAGGAACTGGACGAAGTTGATCGTGACAAGATGGAGAGGAGGGCAACAAAACCGTCTCAACACGGTTCAACACAAAGCAAAATGGATCTCGGCTATTGATTTACCTTGCACACCTACGATGCAACGACACCGTCCGCGCCTCAACAACCTAAATGACGGTGTTGTAACAAGCGGTTGCATCATGGAAGGTTTACGAAGTTAAAGTACGCGCCGTTGCCACCGCATTCCAGAGCAGCTCGTATGCACCGAAGTATGCGCAACCACCGCTTGTTGTTGCCCAACGATATGATTCACACGTGCACCAGAAGCGCTCTTCGCTATCTTCAAGGCAGTATCCCCAGCGCTCCTGGCGGGTCTTGGGAAGAGGGATACGCCTTTGTTGGCAACCACGCTCACCAGGGGAGTTGCATCCGAGATTTGGAGCATGCTTCGGAGAGACGCTTCCAGCTAAACACGGTGTTGTGGTCGTTCGTAGATGCCGAAAGGTGGAGGACCAGAAACAGCGGAACCGATAGGGCACGAGACACGAAAGAAAAGAAAGAGTAAGTGAAATCGAGAAGATAGTCAACACTCATGACTGATTTTAGACATTACTAGACGCTTCTATTCGCTGAACGGAAAGTGAGGTATGATGCGTCCAGTTTGTTTCTCGGGGGCCTCTCTTGCACTTTAGAGTTCCAAGAAAAGATCTTCTGTTGTGCACAGATCACTTTGCCGCCCGAAATAAAACACGATGCACTCCCGAAAACGCTTCACGCCGTACCTGGAAGCTAGCACACGCCCAACGTCTTTCACATCTAACGAGCTACAGCAAGTGTTCGTGCTCCATCGTTCTACGCACAAAGCCGAGGCCGCCATATCTTGGAGGGCGAAGAGGTAGTTGGTCGTCCAATATGCCTCTCACCTCCAAACAGGTCCAGGCGGAATTCACCTGGAACTTACTCTTCCTGAGGATGGGGGCGTTTGCGATCGGCTTGAAGTGTACCTTGACTGCGCGAGACAGACAATCATCCACACGACGGGGGGGGGGGGGAATCACCAAACGCGGGAAAGGATATTCGACATTCAAAAGCAATACGCTCCACGGCCGTGACGCCTACACATGAGCAGGCGAAGGCAGGGCAGCAGCGGACTCAAGACAGTTGCTGCTTGTCCATCGGGGTGCGGCTTGCAGCGACTGCGTGGACTGCACTCAAAAAACACCAGCGCACAACACGGGGTGGGACACGCTCCAGAGGGTTTCGTACCTTTCTCAGGCGTTGCCGGCGGGTGGATTCGACTCGTTTCCCGTCGTTCAGGGACAGATGCATCCATGATTTCAATCGAACTCGTTCTGCCGCTGTCGTTGTCGCTGCCCCCGCTGTTGATCCTCTAGCTATGGCGCGGAAGGCGCCCCCGCACCTTGGTAGGCCGGGTCGGCGAGAAACGCGCGCCGCACCTGTAGCGCCCTTTCAAAAAGGTGTGTGTCCAGCCCGTCAACGTTGCGGCACACGCGGGCTTTTACCTTCTTCCCGCTGGGACCGTTCTGCATAGGGATGGAGAGGGGGGGCATGACGGGATCATTTGATCCTTGCAGTCAAATGTTTGTCCGCTCTACTCGTCTCAATTCGGACGGCGGGGGCCGGCTATGCACCACGCATCCGTGTGGAGACGGGGGTGGTCGGCCGGTAAGGGCGGCCAGCGGTGTTGTGATAGGTGTACGAAGAATGAACGCCGATTCGATAGAAAACAAGCCTTTGACTTGTTCAACTCATGCACGACCAGCTACAGCAGTAGTAGTGATCGAGGTCCAAGCTTTCGGGGTGCTTGGCTTTCTGGAAAGAACCTGGTCTAGACTTGATGGCTTGCCATTGGTCCTGCAGCTACATCGCAAATCAAGGCGCCCTATTTGGCTACAACTTCTTGTCAAAATTCATTCCGGCCAAGATCAATGAACACCATCAGACCGTGTCGTTCTTTCTCTCGCTCCGTCTTTTTGGCAGTCGCTCCCTCAGTTCAGTCCCGTACCCTCTCCCCTTGCCTACTCGCTTGCCTGAACCTCGCCGATGAACTCGTAAAGTGAATCGATCCTGAACTGGAAGTCCGTCAGCAGACACGCGTCGATCGTGAGCTGATCGCCTTTGTAGTCGACCACAGCCACGTTCGCCGCCGCGTCGTAGCTCTTGAGACTACCGAGTGGCGACGGAAAGACATGTACGGTGCCGTCCGCGAGGAAAACTGTTGATAAAACATCTACGCTTGGATTCTTGAGTCCTTTGGAGGACGATACCTCGCACTTGAAATGCACTCAGCCGCCTGCACCACAGCTCTCGTCAATCACGCTTGAGGTCTCATGTTGTTTCCCCAGTAGTCTGCTCGCATCTTAATTATCGTTACGTGGTGCCCTGCTGTAAGCCTACGGTATGTCGTCTATCGAACATGGCGAAGCTCGGGCGAGCGAATATTTGTTAAGAAAGACGTGTTGAGACGGTAAAGCTACCTATTGTTCAAATACAACTAGAGGCTCGTGTTTTACACCACACAACGAACATTACCAGCCAGCCATGAAGGGCCAGCTGACCGCTACTGCTGTGTGAGTGAGACACTCCGACAGACAGACAGAGAAAAAGGAATAAAGAGAGAAAGAAAGAGAGAGGAAGGGCGCTTCTTTCATACTCTTCTTCTTCCCGTCTGTCTACGTATGCCTCCATCTCTGCCTCTATTTCCCCCTGTCTTCTCTGCCTTGTACATATGTAGAGCGGTACCTCTCCACCTCTCTCGTTCTTCACGTACTGCTGTAGACTGAAGACCGTGGGCAAACTTCAAACGAAGCCTAGATTTACGTTGTCCCTGTAAACCACACACCTGCCCAGCACTCGCACAGAGCCGATTACTCCATCTCGCAGGATCTCGCGCACTAGGTGTATCTTGCCCGACTGTATCGTCAGGTCCGTTAGGTCCATGTAGAAGAGTGGGAGCAAAGCAGACGTAAATCAGGCACACGATGTGTAATGCCTCTTCGCATATTTGTACGAAAAAGAATAATGATCAGGTACCCCAGCCCCCCCCCAGGGACTGTCAGCTCTGTCCCTGTGACGCTTGAGGGAGCAGGACCCGGTCCACAGGACCAGGGTGCAGCAGTCAGAAGTCAGAAAAGGCGCGCTCCCACGTACGCGTTTATACCGCCTGGATTCCGGGCTTCGTAGCAGGGGCTCTCGTTGCGCTTCTGCTTCAGCTCTGGCAGCGCGAAACGACCAAAGCCTGCGGTGATCGGGCAGGAGCAGCGAACATGCTCGTCGAGTTTGAAGACGGCGCTCTTCCCCCGTTGAGCGAGGAGCAGAAGGATGCCTTGGCCTCGACGGCGCAAGCGTTGGCGACGCGTGGGAAGGGTATCCTGGCTGCAGACGAGTCTACTCCCACGGTGCGAAAGCTTCTGGGTATTGGGTGTATTTTCAAAATATTCAGTTCATAGACTATTCATGGTCTTGATTATTGTTGTACCAAGCCGCGGGCGGGTCGGGTACGCACGCGTTTTTTTTTTGTTACAGCCGTACTGCGGCAGAGATGGCGCGGATAACCCGGGTGCCTTAATTGTGTACCTGCATCGTGGAAGACCCCTTCATTGTGGAACGATTCCTAGTCAGTGTCGATGTTTACACTGCTGTGCCTAACACAGATGATCTGGATAGATTCGGGTGATAGTCAATTGCAATGATGGCTTTGGGCGTTCTTCTTCATTGTATCTCCACGGGCTCATTCTGACAGCATTTCAGACAGCAGCTCCATGCCCCGAGCTTGTGTACCATGCACCAGGTGTTAGTATTATACAGACAGCAGTACGCTGTAGTCGACAAGCATTCATTTTGGTCAAATGCAGGACGGGGGGTGATGCTGCTGCTGTAGTCGATTTGTAGTGTGTGGGCGTGTAGCTCAGTTGTGAGCACGCAAACGTGCTGCAGGGATTGCAGGTGACCTCCTCGGGCTTACGTACCCTTTCCTTGCTAATAGTGTGTCTGTTCTTTAGATATTCTGATGGCTCTAGCATTTTTGTGACCACGGACCGAGTCTTTGCTAGATTTTGGGATTAGCAACTGACAAAACAACAACAACAACAACAACTGCGGAGGCCACCCCGGTCATGAGGATCGAAGTCTCCTTGCCGTGAGACTTACGTATGACACACGCCCAATAACAATCGAGGCCACCCCGGTCATGAGGATCGAAGTCTTCTTGCCGTGAGACTTACATATGGGGCAGACTATCGATAGTATGTGTAAGTCTCACGGATAGTCTGCCCCATGTGTAAAGTCTCACAGCAAGGAGACTTCGATCCTCATGACCAGGGTGGCCTCGTTTGTAAATGAGCATGTGTCCCTCTGCTGAGAGCATATCCTTGCCGTGAGACTTACATATGGGGCAGACTATCGATAGTCTGTGTAAGTCTCACGGATAGTCTGCCCCATGTGTAAAGTCTCACGGCAAGGAGGCTTGAACCCTCATGACCGGGGTGGCCTCGTTTGTAAATGAGCGTGTGTCCCTCTGCTGAGAGCATATCATGCGCGACAGCCTGCTGAAGAGAAAAGATAAAGAACGTGCGATGCGCACACGAAAAGTAGACAAATCAAACTTGTTTGGGGTACGGAGGAGTCGCGGACCGTCGTGGGGTGGAATTCGCTCCCATAGTCTTCTGGTGGGTAGCGCCACGTACCTACAGCTTCGTTACATTGTACTTCTACAACTCAAAGGGGCTTCGTTTTATTGCGGCATGTCTTGTCTTGAAGGGATTCGGGTAGTTTGGTGGGAGCATGCAATGAAAAAGGGTTGAGGTACACCGGGATTTCGCTGTGCGTGGGCGCCTGCTGCAAGTGTAAGCGGGGTGAAACTAACTGTAGGGCGGGCATGTCTGGATTTCCAATTTCCAAGGGGCCCTCCATGTGAAAACCGTGGAACACCCCGCCATCCCACACGCCCCCCCCGGGCCAAGATCGACACGCAGGATAGCCAATGAAGTGTTCATTGTATAACCAATAAAATATTAGTGTGTCTATAGTATAACCAATAAAATATTCATTGTAAAGGCTTTCTTGCCGCATTCTGAAAGCCATAAATACTGTTCATGGTGTAGGCTTTAGCAAGCTCATACTATATCCTCCCCCCATCGTGACCAAGATTGACGCTTAACCTGGGGGTCTTCCATAACCACTTGCTCTGCGTGGGATCCCGTGCGCGCGCGTGTGCGCTGAAAATTGGACGCGAAAACTGGCGGAACCCCGAGGATTTGGTCAAAATTTCCCCCCCCCGGCGACATATAAAGTAGGAAAAGTGTTCTGTAAGCTGCTGAACGATAGGATAGTGGGAGTATTGGAGAAGGAACATAGCATTAGTGAGGGCCAGGCAGGTTTCCGCAAGAAGAGGGGGTGCGTAGACCACGTGTTCACGGTAGGGAGAATCATCCAAGGTAGAAAGAGGGCGGGAAAGCCGACGTACTGCTTCTTCCTGGACGTGAAAAAGGCATACGACACCGT